CAGCACTTCTCTTTGTTTGTAAGCTTTCTCACTGCTTTTTGCCGCAGCATACAGAAGAGACAGACATCTGTATAAGCTGGAGGCTCTTCTTACTTCCATTATGTCAAATTCATTTTGGAGTTAAGCATCAGAAATTGTGCAGTCAAATTCATTCTGGGCCAGGACATCAGGATTGTGCGGTCAAGCTCAGAACGGCAGTGTTACTTTGCTTATTGTATAATGCTTCATAAAGGAAGCCAGCCCGTTCAATAAAGAAAAAAAAAAAAGCAAAATTAAACACCTTTGATATGTATTAAACTTTCCTGCACACACTTGCAACTTTTTCTGGTATTTTTGTTTCTTTTACTGATTATTCTTAACATAAACAGCATTAAATTAATGGAAAGCAGTAACAGAAATAAGATTTTTACAATTTGCAATGTAATCATATCAGGAAAAAGCATCACCGCACACAATTCTTATAATTAAATTATTGCTTTGGAGGAAGAGGCAAGGGAGACTGTTACTTGTTTTATTCCTTCAGAAACTCTTGTTCATTTTGGCCCGAGGGTAAGAATTTGATTAAAATGTGTAAATTAATGGTGTCTTACACCAAGATTTAATGTTGCTACATGAATATGCTGGTTTTCAACTAGAAGAATTGGGACTTGATTATGTTTGCTTTTAAATATTAGGAAATGATACCCAGAAATCAAGTTAACATCTACTCTTCTTGTTTTTTAGAAAGTCAGACTAGGTTATAAGTCCTTTCTAAATTTAATGCCTATTATTCTGCAGTGAGATCCTGTCGGGTATTGGTGAGCAAAATAGCACGCAGACAGACTTCTACCTACCTATTTGGCAATGACTGACTGATTTTATTCTGCAGCTGTACGTCTTCAAGAGGGAGATCACTATTTTGGCAACCTAGTGTAGTCAGGTTGTTTACCTGGTCAATGTTACTTAATCTGTTTTGTCTAGCTTGTTTATCATCTTGATAAAAATTGCAGAAGATAGAATTGATGTGTTATTTTCTCTCTGACATTTCTTTTCCTTGCTCTTTTCATTTCAGCCACTCAGATCTGTAAGTCCTCCTCAAGTGTCCATCCCAGCCCATATCCTAGCAGAGAAATGAACTTAATTTCAGAGAAATTCACTCACTATAATGTGTTGTGTTTGCACCTTAGGCAATCATTTCTTCCAGAACGAGCATGCAAAGGGCAGAAATTAGTCAATTGTCATTTCAGTGGCTCCGTGTTGTTCTGTGGAAAAGTGAAAAAATGTTTGTGTAACTTAACTTTGGTGGAATTCCTGTCGTGTTTATATTCTTGACGCGTTATTAGGATCTTAGTTATTGGATCACATATAGATAGAACTATTGTTTTTCAGAGGAGAAGGAGAATAAGCATGTGGTTTCTTTATTCTTTCACACATCTTCCCCTTCTATCTACAGAGAGATTATGAAGATTTATTAATGATTTTTAAAACTTCATGTTCTGTTAACACAAGTCTTACAGACCACCACAATGTTTTCCTATATTGCTTAAGAGAGGCTTGTGTTCTCCTGAAGTCTACAGTCTTCAAGCTTAAGCCTAAACAAAATTACTATTTTTTTTTTCCTGGACCTTCTAATACTGACCAGGTGACATCATCTATATCAACCTCCCCAACTCAGGAGCTCAGGAATTCAGGAATGTTCCTTTAAGATTTTCTTCAGTTCGTCCTATTGCTTCTTTCTCAGGACTCTCTCTCAAGGAGTCCGGTTATGAAAGGGAAAAACACATAGATAAAAGCCAGGCTCTCTATTAAAGGAAAGGTGACTTGGCTTCAAAATTGTCTTCTTCAGAGACATGGAATCGAGGCTGAGGTTTCCTTTATGGCATGATATAGGCACTGTGCTGCCTAAACTTAAGGACCCTGTTCGGACCTCCACAGTACCAAAGCTGTGACTACAGAGCTGAGTTAGTGAGTAATTGTAGTGCTGGTACATCCGTGCCCGTGGCAGTGCAGCATCAAGTGTGATAACACCATCACTGAGTAAAAGCAGGGCACACCACCTCTTTCTTCCACAACAGTAGCCTAAATTGTGCTTCTTTCAGGAAGTTTGTATTCTCCACAGAGGTTGTAAACTAAGTTCTAATTGACACAATATTCCTCTTTAGGTATTTTCAGTGTTGTGCATTAAAATATATTAGATATTATGGCACTGAAAACTCTGATTCTCTCCATCGTTCTTTTTAGAATGCACTTAATTACTGCCTTCTATGATACTATATTCCTAGACTGAATTTCAGCGAGTTTTTTCCAGGGGTCTATGTTAGTCTTGCCATCCACTGAACTTGAGGTTTATGTACACAACTTTGATGAAAGTATTTCAACCTTTGGCTCATTTTTTTGGAAAGCTTCTATCAGCCATTTTTACGGCCATTGCTTTCAAACAGGAAGATGGGCCAACTCTGGTGTTAGACAAATTATGAAGTTTATTATCTTACATTTGCCCTATGCTCAGAATTTCTTTTCAGGAGCGTTAGAGCTTTACTTGTGAATGAAATTATTCACTTCCCTTTACACAATCTATATAGAAATTGTAAAAACAACATGAATTTTGCGCACGTCAGATGACAGAAATGTTGTAGAAGTTATTAGAGTGTATCTAGCAGCATATAATGCTTTGAAATATATGAGTCAAAGACACTAATACATGGCAGTACCAGAACACTGAATTACTGTCACAGCTTACCTTCAGATTGCCTGTATGATTGTAACAACATGGGGATCCATACATACCTATTCTCACAAATCATTATGTTCTGGCACAGACACTTGCTTTGAATGTTTCTTTAGGTATGGTAGTCTTCCAGCCTGCACTTCTACTACAAGGTCTCTATCTTGTAGAAGCTACTTTAGTGCTCCTTAAAATGTTTTGCCCCTGTATGTATTCTACTGGTCATCCTCCCTCCTGTCCGCTGAGATGCCTCTCCTTGCAAAGTCACACAACATGGTGGTGGTTCAGTACTATGCTGCCTCGTAGGCCCTTCATGTGCTGCCCCAAGGGCTCTAAGATACATGCATAGATCAAGCAAGCATTACCAGCACGGTAATGGTGTTCGTACTCTCCACAGCAGAATGCACATATGGACAAATTAGCTGAAAAATCACAGTTATTTTTCTGTAAGGTAACATCATTAATTTCCTCTTTCACATCGTTATTGTGATTATATAATAGGTCTTGTGTGCATGGGGATATGAGTAAGGTAAGATTGAAATAGGTTATATCCTTCTGGTATGCTAGTTCCACATTTTCTTGTTGACTTCCTCAATCTAAAGATAAGCCAGTGTGTAATTATTTTAGTATAACATGGAAAGATTGCACCAAATCACGCTTCTCCAAAATTCTAGATCTTCTATAGTTTTGAATGATAATAAAGTAATATAGACAGTTGAAATTCAGACTAATTTTTTTTTAGAAATGGGGAGAGCTGATTTTTGTGAATAAGACGGGGAGAAATATTAAACGATCATCAAATTGAGTAGCTTAAAAAGTTTTTGAGGGAAGAAAGGATGAGTTGTTTAGGAAAAAAAGTGTTTTTTCCTTCCCTGTTATAAAGTGAAAAAAAACCTTAATTGAGGAAAGATGTTAATTTAGACCCGTTGAACTGGGAAAACTTTGATTCTTATGCAATCATATTTTCAGAAATCTGAAACCTCAGCTAGATAATTATGTTTCTGTGTACAGTCAACAGTTCTACAGCATAATGCAGTCTTCTGGATCAGAAACTCTGGGATCTTCTGGGTTTTATATTATTGCTATCATTAGTTTTTAGTTTTTCTAAGAATAATAATCTAAATGCTGTTCACATTCCACTAAAGACTAGATTTTGTCATGCAAATAAGGAAGAAATTTTTTACGCTGAGGGTGGTGAGACACTGGCCCAGGTTGCCCAGAGAGGTGGTGGATGCCCCATCCCTGGAAACATTCCAGGTCAGGTTGGACGGGGCTCTGAGCAACCTGATCTAGTTGAAGATGTCCCTGCCTGTGGCAGGGGGGTTGGACTAGATGACCTTTAGAGGTCCCTTCCAACCCAAACTGTTCTATGATTCTATGATTCTATGATGAATAATAATTAAAGGTGTTCCCAAAACATCACATTCTCTAAGATTTGGTGAAAGACAGCAAGTTAAGATGGGCCAGTTTCTAAATGTAACTGATCAAAATAAATGCATTCATAACAGATTCAATAGCTGTTCTTTGTAATGTTCTATGGAATCAGATTTATAAAATCCATATTTTCAATATGTGCTTAGCCATCTTGTGATAGTACTTCATAAAAAAACCCACAAAAAAGTTGCTATTGCTGAGAATTTGGGGCTTGTGTTTTGGCCTGTTTGCCTGTGAAATCTATGGCATTGTTCTCTCTCCTCCCCCCGCCTTTTATTTCCTTTCTTTTTTCTTTTATTTTCTTGAGCAATCAGAAATGGATTATTCTAGGGAATGGGAGGAGGGGTTGCACAAAAAGAAAATGGTAGGTGGGATTTCTCCTCTGGAAGTTCTCCAACCAGCAGTTTTTGTTAGAGATGCTCTGTATATCTCCAGGTTCCCCTGATGCTACAGACTGGGCTTGCAGAGCCTGGCTGAAGGAGCAGTTTCCTTGCCTGCAGTATTCTACAGTGACCTTCAAGCACCGCAGAAAATTTATCTTTTGAACCTTATATATTAAATGAAATTGATTGATGAAATTACCGAAAATGTAGACTCAGTAGAGCAGGAAACCCCCAAAAAGCAGTGGTCAGAGAATATGCATGGATAAGCGTACATAAACTATGGTGTGCAGTATTAGTGCAGATCCTCACGGCCAGTCATGGGTAACATCCTCTCAGCCTTTTTGATTTTGTACTTTTAACTTTTGCATCCGGGCAACCTGACCTTTACACCCATCAGATATTTAAAAAAAAACCCACCTCTGTCTTTCTGTCTAGTGTTAAACTACTCAGACCTGTTGATGTTTGCATTCCTTCTGTAGGTGAACGGTATTGATCTTCGAGGTGCTACCCACGAGCAGGCTGCAGCTGCGCTAAAAGGAGCAGGGCAGACGGTAACAATCATAGCACAATACCAGCCGGAGGGTAAGCAAAATAATAAACTTAAAGACATATGGTAAAAGATAAGTGCTTTAAAGCCACCCATTTAACAGGATGAGGCTGCCGTAGATAGTGCTTTTCCCAGCTATCATTAGAAGTCATCTGGAATGAAAATACAAGTAGCAATTCTATCCCAAGGAAATGGCTGTATTTTTGTCACAGACTTTGCTTTTAGAAGTATTTTATGCAACTATAAGAACTATCTTTAATTGTGCATATAATAAGACAGTAATCAACACTTAGTTAATGATTTTATTGTCATTATTGCTTATTTTACGTTCTTTTCTATTCTCCTTCTGGAGACAGTGCAAAAGATAAGTTAAGAATGAATAGAAATGCCAGGAAGATCTCAAGTTGCTTCGGACAGTCAGATCAGAATTAAACAAAGATAAATGCTTCCTGCCAAATGCATAGAGCTTCCCATTATTCCTTTTGGATGACAGTGTCCTTGTACCTCCAGGGCAATTAGCCCCAGATAACAAGCACTTACTAGAGAAAATGACAGCTTTCTAAATAAAAGCATCAACAGGAAATTCAGCAAAATATAAGACATTTAGGGTGGGATGTCTCTCATCCTGCTTTCAGTGTCTAATATTTAGCTTAAGCTAATTTCAGTGGGAAGAAGTAAGCGTTGATTGATTTTGTGAGTCCAGAGTTAAGTGACAGAACTCCTTCTCATTGTCCATGAGCTGCGTTTTTTCCTGATACGACTATCTGAGACTCTCAAGGAATTCACGAAAGGAATATTACTTTCTGATAGGAACTAAAGATGGTTTTCCTCCGCAGTAGTTGTTACTTTGAAACTCTTTCCAGGTGAATTCAGCAACTACAGGTGTCTGTGAAGACTTGCTGGCACCATTTTATCAGGTTTCAGTAAACAGTTCTAGCTAAATTCACAAGTCCTGCTATGACCTGTCAACACAGGTTGTTGATTCTGCCGGATTGTGCCCAGCCTAGGACACGTGTAAGGCTCAGGCGAAACAGAACAGGTTCAGCCAGTCAGTTTTTTCAGAGGCACTGGGGAGATTAATTGGTACCACCAGAGTTTATGCAGCATGATACTCTCTTCTGTTTCTCTGGATCCTGATGATAGCACACAAAGAGAAAAACAGCTGGTATTTCAGTCAAACTCACAATTGTGCTTCAGATCTGGTATGATGCATCCATTTATCGGTTTATCTGCACTTGAGTCACCAAGCAGAATAAATTAGGCCATACTAAGAAATGGGCAGATGAAAGCAAACGAAATTGCAAGTGTCTATCTTTAGTTAAATAAATGGAACATATTAATATAAAAATGCATAAGCAATAATGAGTTATTTCAAAGAAAAAGTATTGAAAAGCAATTCCATTACAGAGAGTTATCCACACTGGATTCTGAATAAAACCATGTTCCCATTAGTTCTGGCAGTCTTGTTTGCTGTCTGGTGATTTTATACTGCAATTATCACCATGGTGTCTGAGTACTTGTAGCAATCACTGGCATTTCAGAGTTGTTCTATGCCATTGTTAATACACAGAAAAATACATCACTTGACAGATTTTTCCTATTATATTTGAACTTTTAGTTGACATACTTTTCCCCTATATTTTACCAGCTCTGTAATATGTCAAATTCAGTTTTGGTGAACATGCAATTCAAATGATGCTGATAAAATCCATGAAGTATTATATTGTATATTTAGTCTATTTTCCTGATAATGCTGCTCCATTCACCAAAACCCCTGGTGAGGGCAGACTAGTCCCGACTGTGTGACTTGTTGTCAGTGAAGCACAGCCAGTTTTCCGTTTCACCCAGATTGTTCAAAACACACTGAAGAGAGCGGAGCTGGTGAAGAACAGGGCCCAAAGTTAGCCTTTTTATAGGAAAAGACAGAATTTTTTAAGGTAGTGAGAGCATTCAGTAATTGTCCAGCATGTGTTGTCTTGTGGCTGAAGTATTTCATTTTAATCTGAGATGCTGGTTAATGCGAACTGTGTAAACATAGATATGAAATTAAGTATTTCTTTCTTTAAAATTTCCCTAATAGCAAAGAAAGATGAAACAGGTTTAAAACAGTTGTTTAAATAACCTTCACAGAGAATTATTTAAGGATTTATAGGTCACACAGAAAGACAAACAAACTCTATATCAACATAAATATTTATTTTATTCTAAAGATCCTGCACAACTCTTTTTGTCCTTTCTATGTAATTTATACCTGATCTCTTATTTACCATATCTATCTTGATGCATATATTGGAACATAGTCAAAAAATACAGTCTTAAAACAGTACAGCTGTGCTTTCTCCAGGGTCTCCTCACTTTAAAATGCTTCCAAAACTAGTAAAGAACACAAGCAAAGTAGGCTTGTAGCTTGATTTTTCCATTTTCATACTGGAAGCTCTGAGTTATTCCAACAATTTCGGGTTTTTTCGGGAGATCCAAGATTGGCCACTGCAAATGTTAACCAATACCCTTTTTTTATTTTTTCCAGCTTAGTAAGCCTTTAGATGTTGTTGCAAAAATTCAATGAAACCTTTAGCTATCGATATTTCAGGTATTAAGTGATGATGATATGAGTACCAGTCAATACTATAAGCCAGCTGATGATCAGCAATTAAAATTGTTAGTAGAAAAACTTACATTCCAATAACTTAGTTTTTATGCAGTAGAGGAAAGCTTACAACACACTTATCTTGGCAATAATATAGTGTCTCCAAAAACAAATAATATACTTTGCTGTAGGAAGAAAATGAGGTGACTGCTATAGAAACAGCTTTCAAAGTTTAAATTTTCCGTTTCCTTGTTTCAAACAGTCAAAAGTTCATCTAAGCCTCATATGAACTCCCCTCACATTTATGTGTATCGACTTGGCAGCAAATCTCATGAGAATGGCAACTCCTGCAAAAACATCTAGTGCTTGCCATCAACTTGAATAGCTTTTCCTCTTGATATTATGGCACGTCGTTTTCTCATCCTGTCTGGAATAAACAAATGCAGAGACAAGCTCAGATAAAATAGAATAGCATCACAAAATTTTCTGAATGCTGTCAGACTTGTGGTCGGCGATGGTACTTTGAACCACCCTGCCTGTCCCTGTCCCAGATGAAAGTGGTCTTGGAAATCGAGCAAATTCTGTAAAAGGGCACAGATACAGTAAACAAAGGGAAAATGGAAGACACAAGCAGTGACTTCATGAGAAGGAGCTGAATGGAAATACAAGGGATAGTATGAAGAATGGAGAACAACTCCTCAGCTCTTCTGCTATTCAGTCCCTGTTTTCCTCATGTACACTCACCATCTTTATTTCCCTCGTCTCTCTGAGAAATAGAAGAGAAAAAAAGAGGTATGAAAGTCCAAACAGAAATGCAAATTCTGTGAACAAAAACATGGAAATATTATTAGGAGCAAGAGGAAAGTGAATCACAGTGGTTAAAAAGTCAGAGGTCAACAGTGAGAGTATATGTTTATAGCTTTAGGAACAGCGGCCATAACTCTGGGCTTTTTGAGTCATTCCTTACTTTTATTTTAAAAACTGAAAATAACCTGTGTACTGTATCTTTTGTACACATGTATTGTGTAAATAGAGGTCAAGTAATGTTAAACATCGTGATCTCTAACAGTCATTGTGGCTGTAGTTCACGTGGAGGTTTATGCATGTATTCAAAGTACACTAGCCATCCTGCAGGCTTCAGAAAGATGACTGTTTGTATTCATGTGCTGCTCACATCTTCTGCGCATGGTGAAATGAAATTAAAGAGAATTTAAGGACCAAAACCTAGTTAGAACAAAATTAGAAGAGGAACCGATCATTTATACTCAACTTTGCTCTCCAATTTTTAATATTCTTGGAAGTATTTTAACTCTCCTCCCAGCTTAGCAACTCTCAGGTCTCTTTTAAAACATTGTACAAATATGGACCTAGTGAGTAGGCCCTTCTCATCTGCAAAATAAAAACCTGAGCCTGGAAAATAATCTTAGGGTGGAAGAGTGTGTCCTTATTAAACAATTAATTAGCAATTAAAATGGGAAATATATACTACGTAGGGAAACGGTTTTTACACTTCCAGGTTTTTATGCAGGACGTATTTTGATTTTACTGGCAACAGTTGTAAATTACAGGCCAGTATGGAAGGAGTTAAGAAAAAGGTTTGTCAGTGAACCTGAAATACATTTTCAAAGGAAGGTGAACTTTAGTTGAAATAGTGACAATTTGTCCTGAAAGACAGAGCTTGAGAGTGGGGGTAGACAGAATACTGGACTCCTAATGAAGCTGCTAAAAAGCTTTATTGCACGTTTGAGCCTCAAATGCTCATGTTCCTTCCCCCTGCGGCAGTGCGAAGGGGTAGAACTTAGCCCTAAGATTTTTGCAAAATACCCGGTGTCAGTGGTCTGCGAGCTGCATTGTGCTGCATTGCAGTGTCTCTGCAGCTATTCCCTCACAACAGCCCCTGGAAAACTGTTAAACCACTCAGAAGTTTCATGTGCTTTAAATCTTTCAAGCGAGCCAATCAACTTGCTTTCTTAACAGCTTGCACATAGGGAAAACATTCATTGATTACAGTTTGATTAGACCAGCTGACAATGAAGAGGTCAAAAATTGCTACAGCGAGACAATTTCTGCTTTATCACCTTTTGAAGAAGCTGTTAGCTGCTTGCTCGGCGACTCCGTACTCTGCGCCTGTTGAGTGGCCAGTAGCTGAGTTTCCGTCAGAGTATCAGACGGAGGGATACTGTGGTAGGTGGTGTCTGTCTCTGCAGACATTAGCTAAGGAAATGGTTGGAGAGCTGCACCTACAGTTATAAGCATCTCATGGCAGCAATGGTACTAAATTCACTTTTTAGTTCTTTTGTTCCTGAATCTGGGAGGCTCACATAGGGCGTTGTAACAGACCTAACTTTCATAGGCAGCAGCAGCTTTTATAAAAGTGTACTCCTTGTCTTACACATTCATCTGACCTACTAATGCATGAGATCTGCTCTTTTTAAAATATCAGAGTAA